AAGCCCGGTACGACAGTAGGTCCATGCACAGTCTATATGATCAACAAATCCACACTGATAGAACTGTGCCAGCTAACAAACCGGATATCATACTCAGGCATAATGGGGAAAAATGGTGTAAGTTAATTGAGGTATCCGTGCCGGCAGAAAAAAACACCACAGCCAAAGAAGCAGACAAAAGGCTGAAATACAGAAATTTGGAAATTGAAATAACCAGGATGTGGGGAACAAAAACCGAAACGATTCCGGTCATCGTGGGAGCATTGGGAGCCATGCCACATTCAATAAAAGGAAATTTAAAGAAGATTATGAAGAACCTAAAAGAAGAAACCATCCAGGAAATCGCACTATGTGGGACGGCCCACATTCTTCGGAAAATATTATAAATAGCACCACCGATATTCGAGTATTTGTCCCTAAGGAATCGGGTAGAGACCTGGGATAAATGCTTAAAAACCCCGACAAATAAGAGCCTTGTCGTGTTTAAGAGTGATAATAATAATAATAATAATAATAATAATAATAATAATAATTACGACGGAGAAATTTTTGAAATTCTTTTGACGGTAAAAAAAAAATTAATTTGATTGTTTGGCATCATGTAATTCTTTCTTATTTTCGCTATTTATAATTTTTTTTTTTTACACCGAATATTATTGAGACGCCAACGGAAATATTCATCATATTCAATGGCAAAATTCAAAACATGATTGGGCGCGGTTTTAATAAAAATTCTCCCCCTTCCCTCACCCCCCTCTCTCTCTCCCCTCGTTTTTTCTGTCTTCAATTTCCTCCTTGCTATCTGGCACACGTTCTTCTTCTTTGTTTACGTAAACGTTATTCATCACTCACTCTTCTTCTTTTCCGAGTACAAAAATAGTTAGTAATATTTAAATTTTGGCGCCAAATAGCAGTTGTTTACGTATAAATTTTGTAAATAAATAATAATAATAATAATAATAATAATAATAAATCGTCGAGTACTAGTAAAAAGTGCCAGCAAGTAAAAAAAAAAAAAAAAATTTTCACTTCCTTTTTTAATTAATAGCATTATTATTATTATTATTAACGACCAATTTTCCCTCCCCCCTTCCAATTGTAAGCGTAGTTATAATGTGTAAATTTCAATAATGAAAACAAAGTACAAGTTTTACATTATTATTATTATTTTTCAATGTATTCAATTAAACACGTTTGTGATTTTGTTTGATGATTTAACTTTCACATTTTTTGATTTTCACGGCAATTTATTTATTAATAATAATAAAAAAAAAAAAAAAACTTCGCGCCTTTCATTTTCTTTCACAGGCGAACATGAAAAATTACAAAGCGAATTTTATAATTTGTTTATTTGTTTGTTTGTTTGTTTGCCACATGTAGCGTTGAGAAGTTTCTAAAATGAACTCCCTCCCACCTCCCTCCCTTCGCCCCTTAATCGCAATCGATTGCGAAATAAAAAAAAAAAAGGCGCGCTTTACATTATTAGTCGAGTCGGTTGCAGTTTACGGCAAACATAATTTTTGTTGCGGTAACGTTAATCGAGTTCAAAGGTATTCTCGTTTTTTAAAATTTAAATACCTTCATTATTGATGGAAAAAATAAGGAATTAAGGAATTTTCCGATGTCTTACGCACCTCCCCCCTATCCCCTTTCTTCCCTTCTTCCCTTTTCCCGAACGTATTCAAATCATTTTTGGGGTGATTTTGTTTTTTTTTTTTTTGATGCGAGCAACTGAATACTAGGGTTATCCGCTTTCCCATTCGAAAAAAGAAAATAATGGGGGAAGGGGAAGGGAGGAGAGTTGAGATTAATATCAAATTTTCATAAGTCATCGCACCTCCTGGAATTCCTAGTCAATTCGAGTTTATATAACCTAATTAAAAATGTAACTGTTATTAATATAATTTTTTTTCTTCTTTTCCTTCAAAATTTTAAATTGAAAGTAATATAATAATTTTAAGTGGTTTACGAACGTGTTTTATTTGTTTTACTTTCTATTAAAAAAAAAAAAAAACAACAAAAACAAAAATAATAATAATAATAATGATATTTATTTACGAAACGATAAACAAATACTTACTACGATATTTTGATAAAAAATTATTTGTGCGATACGATACAATTTTGTGATAAGGAAACCATTTTTTTTTTTTTTTGGTAAAAAACATTTGCACACGACGTATAGCATTTTTATGAATTTTTTTTTTTTTTTTCGACCGTGACCGAAAATCAATGTTCTTATTTTTCACGGTGAGAATGAATACCTACCTACCTACCTACCAACTGGTACCTTCTGCCAGCGTGTAATTCCAAGCCGTACTAATAATAATAATAATAAGCGCGAACGATAACTGTTTTGTACTCGTGTCGTCGTAGGAAAAAAAATTCTTTTTTTAAATTTTACCGATTGGCACAAGACAAATCGAAATTATTTATACACGCACACGCACACACGCACTCGCACGCACTCATTGATATATTTTAGTTTCCTTTGCGGTGATGATTAGAATTGTATTCTATTAGATTTTATCTGTACGTAAAAAGTTTTTTTTTTTTTTTCTTGATGATACAAATTTTTTATCATTAACAACCGCAACCGCGTCTCCCCTTTTTTTTTCTTCAATGATAAATTCAATTATTATAATCATTATTATTATTATTTTCTTTTTTTTTAATTGAACTCGTTGATGGAATCTTTAATCTTTAAATTTTGCTTGGGCTGTACCTAGATTTATTCAGAACGAGTGATGTTATTATGTTAAAAATGTCAAACGAAAAAAAAAAAAAAAAAGAGGCATCATCATCATCATTTTGAATTTTCGTTTTTATACCTAAACCGGATTAAAAATCTAACGTTGATAATAATAATAATAATAAATTTTTTTTCTTTTTCTCTTCATGTAAGTTTTTTTTTCGATCGTAAAAGTGTGTAAAAAAGAGAGAATTTCTAAATTTAGTTATTATCAACAACATTTATCTTGCACTTTTAGACGAGCCAAATCAAAAAAAAAAAATAATAATAATAATAATTTATTTATTTATTTTTTCTGTAAATTTTTAGATTTACGTCTTGCTTAGCATTTAAACATGTTATGGAAGAAGTTTCGGATTTGGCCGGTCAACATGAAGTAATAGCTGAGAATCTTCAGGCACAGGTCATAAACGAAGTTGCTATTCTCGTCAAAGATTTTAGAGAAGAAAGGAAAAAGGTAAGTTTAAACAAATTAAGAAATGATATTTTTTAAAAAATATAAACACCCTCTTCTTCTTCTTCTTTTGTTTTGTTTAGGCGTAAAAAAAATATGGAAGTATCGTGATTAAATGTTTTTTTTTTTTTTTTTTTTGTTTCTTTCTTTCTCGCTCTTTGGTATTTTCTTTTTTCTTTTGTTTGTAAGATGGTGGTGCGAAGCAAAAAAAAGAAAGAAAAATTAATGAATATTTTATAACCGTTATTAATGGTGGTGGTGTAGGCAGTGGTAATTGATTTTAAGTGCTTTGTTTTTCTCTTCTCTCCTTCTTTCGGTTGACCTTAATCTAAAAGTCCGTCACACATGATAATAAATCATTATTATTAGGTAAGAAGAAGAGAGAAAGAGGTGTTACGCGCGCGTACAGAAATTTACTTTCTCTGGGTAAATGTAATGATGTTTTTGAATTAGGCGGATTTTGAAGATGATTGTAGTTATGAATTATGCTTCCAGGTATTTTCGTCTGGATCGTGCGGAATTACTTTTTTTTTTTTTTTTTTCTTATTTATTTTGCAAATACGTGTTTGTTTTCGATCAAATGCCGACGTTTTGAAATTTTAACTTTTACACGCGTGAATCTCTCTCTCTCTCTCTCTCTCTCTCTCTCTCTTTCTATCTGTTTAACGTTTTAATTTTCATTCGGCGTTATTAAAATAAAAATATTTTCGTTTGAAATTTTTTCGAACGTCGTGAGTGTTTTAAGAAAACGTATTCCTACGATCCTACCGCAACAACGTTTTAAAGATTTTTTTGTCGAGTCAAGTTTTCAAAAAAAGAATTTCAAAAAAAAAAAAACAACCTGTCTCTGTCATTCTCCTAAGTAAAACACGAATCCCGAAAAAAAAAGGAAACCACCATTCTAAGGTACGATTTAATAAGAGGCTATTTTTCAATTAAACGTTTTGTTACCGGTCGCAAGTTTCCATTTTTTATTTTTTTTAAATGGTTTTACTTGGTTAAGAAACTAATTTGACTAACAATTTTTTGCGTTGGGAAATAAGAAAACTAAAAAATTTTCCGCCTTTGTCCAAGCGGATATTTTAAAAAAAAAAAATAATAATAATAATTGTTTATTTTTTGTCTTGTAAAAACTCGTCGGAGGATTACAAAAAAAATTTTTTTTTTTTAATGTTTTTGTTTTACTATTTATTTATTTTTTTTACTTTTTTACTCTTTTGATGATTGTGGAGTCTGCGTAACCTTCTTTTCAATGAAAAATTTTGTGTAGGTATTTAACTTAACTTTAGTCAAGTGTGTGTGTGAGAGAGAGAGAGAGAGAGAGAGTTCAAGGCGAGCAAATACCTATGGAAAATTAAATACTTTGCGTGCAAAAACCTATGTAGAGTTTACGGGATTTTTGTTTTTTTTTTTTTTTTCCCCTTTTCGACTCGAGTCTTCTTCATTACTTCATTTCTAAATTCAGACGAATAAAATAAATTTAAATAAAATGTTCGTGAATGTTAAATTTACCTTTGAGTCTTCTTTTTTTCTTCTTTCCTTTGCCGTTTTAAAATAATTCGATTCCGATATTTATTTATTTGACGAAGAATAATTTTTTGAAATTATCCCGGTCTGTTTGCCATGGTAAAATTATACTTGTTATTATTATTATTGTTATTATTGGTATTTTTTTAAAGGAAAAAATAATTAAGTGTTTGTGTGTGTCTTTTATTATTTATTAATTTTTTTTTCTTTTTTTTTTTTTACATCAAAGAATAAAATATGTTTTACCAACCATAACATCTTATAATAGTAATTTGAGTTTGGTACTGTTACCCGTTTTATTGCCTGAACAATTTTATTTATTTATTTATTTTTTTTTCGAACACGCAAAACTGTCATTGACCTAACAAAACCGTTTAAATTTTTCTTTTGATTCCGTGTTATGAAGATTTTGACGCGATTTAAACAATCAATTGTAATTTTTTTGTGAGAGAATCGTCCGAGAGAGAGAGAGAGAGAAAAGAAAAAGAGAAAAAGAGAGAGAGAGAATGAATTCATATGTAAAGTGTAACACATTTGGCTTAGCAAATTATTATTTCGTAAACATTTGTGATCTTGGTCCTCTTGTTTACGGCTTTTTTGCGTTTTGGTTTTGGGCGTTTTACTTATTTTATTTGGCACAAAATCAGGGAATCAAATTAAGGAATTATCGCCTTGGAAAATCAGAGTTCGATAACCTAATTAATAAATTTTTTTTTGCTTGTGCAAACCAAAAAAAAAATTTTTCATTTTTTTTACATAACGCGTGATGATGACTTTCTCAACGTTAAATTTAATCCTTTTAAGACAAATTTTTACCGTTTTGAGTGATGATATATATTAACAGGGATTTAAAAAAAAAAAAAAAAAACTTTTCGCGTGATTTTGTCTATTACAATCAATATACACTTGATGAGAATGTTTTGAAGCTTTATATACGAACGATTGTTTGAAAACATTGTTAAAAAAAATTTGTATCCTTGTTTTTTTTTTTTTTTGCTGCTTTCACGATTTTAAATTGAAAACATCTTGATTTGTTTTTTTGGCAGAGTAATAACTTTATAAATATAAATATATTCGATGCAGTTTTTAAATGAAGAGATTTTTCTTTGTTATTTACTTAGTCTACCCCTTTTGTTTTTATTGGAAAAAAAAAAAAGAAATTTAAAATGATTTCTTTTATCATTCGATGGATAAATTATGTCGATTTCTTTTTTCTCATTTTCTCTCTCTCTCTCTATCTATCTATCTATTTATCTATCTCTCTTTACCGATTTGTTTTGATTTGTTTCTATTAACACACAATCGAATTATTCCTCCATTCGATTTTTATAACAAAGCGGCCACATGAATGGATTACGACAGAGTTTCACATTAATAAAAGTTTTACATTTCAATGTGTTTATTGTAGTTTTCTTTCCATTTCACGAAAGAATGTGAACGTTGACATAATAATAATAATAATAATAATTATTATTATTATTATTATTTTTTAAATGAGTCGTTGGTCATTTATATATAAATTGTGCGTTTTGTTTATTGTTAATTATAAGTGATTTTCGAGGGGAGAGGAGTGACTCCTTTTGAAAAAAAAAAAAAAAAAAAAAAAAAACAACCTGATGAATAGTCATTAAAAGTTGTAGGAGGTTTCGTTTTGTATTTTTTTTTTTTTTGTTATGCGAGTTAACATTTCCTGTTAAGTGTTGTGAATTTGTTGAACTTTTTTTTTTTTTTTTTAATATTTTTTTTTCATTAATTAGTCGAATTAATTAAATTTTATTTACATATATATCTCATGTAGTAAATTAGACGATTTCCTGGTTTCTTTTTGTTTATTTTTATTTTATTTTATTTAAGTACATAAAAAAAAAAAATCCGATTTCTTAATGGCCATTTTTCTTCTCTCTTTCTCTGTCTCTCTCGGTGGTATTTGAATTATAAAGCGTTGTTGTTGTTGTTGTTTTTTTTTTTTTTAAAAAAAGGTTTCATTTTGGGTTTTTTTAAATCGTCAAATTCGAAATTATTTTCACATTTGCGTGCGTGAATTTTCAATCGGATTATTTGCAGAAGATTTTTTTTCTCTCTCTTTCTCTCGTCGATTTTTTTTTTTGTTTTGTTTTTTGAAAAGTAATTTAAATATTTTTAAACGGTTTTCTTAATTTGCTTTTCGGACAATTTTTTTTTTTTTTTTTTTTTATCATTTGTTTCCGGTTAAACGAGTTTAACAAGATGTTCGGTTCATATTATGTAGTTTTCAAGTTTATGATTTTTTTTTTTTTTTTAATTCTGTGTCTCTTTCTCTTCTCTCTGTTATTAAAACGACGTACTCGTATTATTTTAAAACAAAAAAAAAGTTACATGTCTTTAGTATTTTTAAAAAAAAAACAAAAAAATGTATTTATTTAAATTGTTCGATTGCAGGAAATTTTTTGTGTTAAAATAGTTTTTTTTTTTTTTTTTCTTTCCTCTTTCATTCTGCTCTGAATGCGTTTTCGCAAGAATACGACGTGTGTTGCGTGCACGAGGCAAAGATGTTTTCTTTTTTTTTTTTTTTTTCATGCCAAAGTCATTCCGAACGTAAATTGTTCCAATAGAATTTTTTTTTTTTTTTTTTTGTTATCTCTCGTGGTAAATAATAAAACGATTGCAAGGTTAAAAACGTCATTTTGATAGTGATTGCACAAGAGAATTAACCGCATGCAAAGATAAGGCCACCGTCACTTGCCATCAACAGGTGCCTTGATAAAAAATATAATGAAAGAGGGATTCGTTCAAGGGGATTTTTTTCTTCTCTCGCATCCACCTCTCGTCGAGTTCAATGAGTATTTTTAAAAAAATTGTCTGGGAGGGGGAGAGGGCGTGAAAACAAAAAAGGAAACAACTTGTAATTCTTTAGTACTTAACCTTCCATATGTTTTCCTCTCCTGGTTTTTTACTTTTTCTACGGCTTTGACAAAATAATCGAGAAGAAAATTTTTATGTCGTTGCTCTATTTAAAAAACTTCATTTATAACATTTCACTAAAACGCATTATTATTATTATTATTATTATTGTCAAAAATTTTAATTACGCGTCAAATCGCGTGAAATGAAACGGTCGGTTATCTTATGTAAAAGTTAATAATGTTATATATTTTTTGTATTGTTTTACCCAACAAACATTTTTTTTTTTTTTGTGGATTATGTAAGGTTGTTGTGGTTTTTAAGGTTATTGTTATTGTGTGGAATGTGTGGAAAGTGGGGTGTGCGTGTGCGTGTGTGAAAAGAACGCATTTTGGGTAAAATCTTTTAAAAAATTTATTTATTTTTGCTCAGAAACGCATTTTAATGAAATTAGGTAAACTTTTAAATTAAATTTTTTTATGGTTCCTTGCATGATCTCATGTGGCGGGTGGCGTGGGTCGATTAATTTATTTTTTATTTTTTTATTTTTATTTCTGTTCCGTAAATACACGTCGAATAATATTCGTTAATAAAAAAAGAAAAAGAAAAACTGATCCTTTACGTCTTTTCTTTTTTTCTCTTTGTTCATTATTATTATTATTATTATTATTATTATTATTATTATTATTATTATTATTATTATTATTATTATTATTATTATTATTATTATTGTGAATTGTTAACCGTAATTCGTCAAGTTTGAAAATAATAATGTTTTCTTATTTTTTTATTTGTTTGTTTGTTTGATTGCAGCATCTTCAGGAAGGAGCTAAAATGATGGCGAATTTAAACAATCAAATCAATAGCTTAGATAGGTCTAAGAAAAATTACGAGAAGGCTTTCAAAGAAGCCGAAAAAGCGTTGGAAAACTACCAGAGAGCCGAAGCGGATTTCGATTTATCGAGAGCAGAAGTTGAAAAACAAAGGATAAACATGATGACCAAGGGTCAACTCTGTGAAGATTCAAAGAGCGAGTATGCTAATCAATTACAAAAAACAAACGATTTACAAGTGAGTAAAAAAATTTTTGTTGTTGTTGTTTGTTGTTTGTTGCTTGTTGTTTTTGCGACCCACAATGTAACGCATTCTTTTTTTTTTTAAAAAATTGTTTGAGGGTCGACGTTTATTTTTCTTTTTTTTTTCTTTTTACCATTTCCACAATATTACTTCGACATATATGTGTGATGACGTAGAACGATTGATTTATTATTACGAATAAAAATATTATCGTTGCATCGTTTTAAGTTTTAATAATAATAATAATAATAATAATAATAATAACGTGACTATTCTTTCGTAACGAAATTTTCTTTTTTCTTTTCTTTTTTCTTTTTTAGATAAAGAAAAAAAAAAATGTGGCCTGAAAATCGTTAATTAGCGCAATGACGAAATGACTAATACGAATTAGTTTTAGTTTTTTTTTTTCTAGAAAAAAAATAAAAAATAATAAAAAATTTATTTAACTAATAAATAATATTGACACGATGATTAGGTACGTAAATAAATGACGACACGTAAAAAATATTATTAAAAAAAAAAAAAAAAAAACTTTAATAATACGTATTAATTACCTTGATTTAATTATTTATTTATTTATTGTTGTTTTTGTTTATTTTAAATAAAATTTAACCAATAAATAATAATTTATTTATTTATTTATTTTTGGAAGGTTGAATTTTTTTTTATTCTGGAATTAAGTCAAGGCGTTTTGAATTTACATTAAATTTTTTTTTTTTTTTCCCTTCGATTTAAGATTGTTACAAAAGAAGAAATATTATTATTATTAATGGGTTGTTGTATGAAGAGAAAGGGTTTGTTACACGTGTTGTTTGTTTGTTGTTGATAGGCATGGAAAAATGATTTGGTTAATTATACTTACGTAATTAATTCCATGTGATATTTTACTTCGTACCCATTCATCATTTTCTGGCAAAGAAAGTAATTAAAAATTGCGACATTTTTATTATTATCATTTACTTGTCATCTTTCGATTCTAAAAAAAAATTTATTTAGGTTACTTTTACCGCTGCATCACATCCTTTGGGGGGCGGAGGGAGAGGAACACGTAAAACGTGAAATTTTCGTTTTCGAGTAACGAATTTTTTTACTTTTCGAAAAAGTAAACATTTTTGCGTTTGTTTACTATTTAAATTTAGATAAATTATATAGATTACAGGCGGGGGAGGAGGGAAGGGGTAAGGGGGCAAAGAGAAGTGATAACAAAGATAAAAAATTTTTTATTTATTTACTTGACTAATTTTTTACGTTTTAAAAAATTGAAACGTTTTTATTTTTTTTCCTTACTTAAATAATTGCGTTTTAAAATAGTAATAATAATAATAATGATAATGATAATGATGCAAAAAGGATTTCTCTTTTTAAATTTGTTTTGTTTTTAAAAATCATTTATTTATTTTCAGAATCAACATTATCAACAGTTGATGCCCGACGTGTTTAGACACCTACAAGAAATGGATGAAAAACGAATAAAAAATATAAAAAATTTCATGACTCAATCGGTGACGATCGAAAGAAACGTTTTCCCAATAATAAATAAATGTTTAGATGGAATAATAAATGCTGCGAACGCCGTGAGCGAAAAAGAGGTAAGAAAGAAAAAAAAAAAAAAAGATGGCGTTCATTTAAATCAGTAATAAAATTTTTCCGGAAATGGTATTAATTTTGAAATATATCAAGTGTCCATTTTTTATTTTTCTAATTTCGGTAAACGATATATTATGATTGGTAATTTTGATTCTTAAAAGAAATGAAAGAACGTTAAAATACGTCATCAATCGATAAAATTAATTATTTTTCCTGTAATTAATTAAGATTATTATTATTATGAGATTTTTTTTTTACATATTTATATATATAAGGTCAAAAAGGAAATAAATAAAATATGTCGGAGGAAAAAGGATTTATTAACAAACAAATAATTTATTCGATTGACATAAAACCTTTTAAGAATAATAATAATAATTGAAAGAAAAAACCTCTTTTTATGGAAATCATTTTATTATTTAACATCCCATTTAGATTTAATTTAATTTTTTTTATTGTTTTTCTCGAAGGATACTCAAATGGTTATAGATAGGTACAAATCAGGTTTTCAACCACCCAGAGATATTCCATTTGAAGATCTCAACGCTGTCAGGTCGGGAGATGCTGCACCCGTCACAAATCAATATATAAAAGCACGAGCGGATCCCAACATGACGGTGAGAGGAACGATATCGGCGGGTAAATTAAAAAGAAGAGTTGCTTTATTCGGTATATTCAGTTCGAACAAGGTAAATTTATCTATTTCCACTTCATTTTATTTTTTAAACTCTCTCTCTCTCTCTCTCTCATTGTATACCCTCGCACAATTTTTCTTTTGACGTGTAAGAAAAGAAAAATTGCTTGAAAATGATATATAAATATTTTTGTCAGTTGAAATCGAAAATTGTTGTTAGTAAATGTTTTTTTTTTTTTTCGATGATTAGTTTTCAAATCACGAGATTTTTGCTGTGGTCAAGCATGTGTGATATGGTCGTATATAATCATTCGCAAAAAATATTCGTGAAAGCAAAAAAAAACAAAAAAAAAAAAAAAAAAAAAAAAAAAACAAACGGTTTTTTTGTGGTTGTCGTTGTTGAGACGTTCTGCTTCGTGTAAATATTATTGATTGAATGATTTGTTGTAAATAGTTATTTTAAACGCACGTAATTTTTTTTTGTATTTATTTATTTATTTATTACTTATTTATTTTCTTTTTATGTATTTTCAAACCTGCGAGTTGACTGCTCTAACTAAGGAGGGGGGGAGCGTTTTCCGGGAAAATTCTTATTTTTTTTCGAAAATGGGGGCAAATAAATAATTTTTTTTATTTTTATTTTTTCGCTTTGTATTCAAAGCAAGAGCTCTTTACAAGACATTTTTTTCCTAATTTTTTATAATTAATAACAAAATTAATTTATTTTTATTTTTTGTATGGTGTTCTAAACGGTGGTGACCGATCGGGTGACACTTCTTGGGTGGTTGATCATATTTAAATCGATTGAAATAATGCGTAAGTAAAAAAGTTTTTGTCGCGCGCGTGCAAAAATAAAAAAAAAAAAATGGCGAAAAAAACAAAAAAGAAATTAACGCTTTTTTATTATCCTATTTGTTTACATTTATGTTTTTTATTTGTTTGTTTTTAATTTGTCGACAATTTTCGCAATCGCTTTTTTTTTCGCGCGGTTTTTCAAATTCAACAATTTTCTTCTTTTTTTTTATTTTTTCGTTAAATAATAAAAAGCTTTTTGTAAGCTCTTGTAAAATTTTCTTTTCTGGCGGAGGCTTTTTAATCGAATCCCGCCTTTTTTTTTCCTTTTTTGTCGTTTTCCGTTTAATTCCTTTTTCTTTTCCTTTTTTTTGTAATTGTTGAGTTACTAACCGTACGTTTGTTTGCTAAGCTTTTAATGAGTTTTCTTTTTTTTAAATGTTTGTTACTTACGGTCTTTGTTTTGACATATATGATTTTGTTTCCTTTGTTGTGTGCTTTATTATTATTATTGTTATTATTATTATTATTGTTTTTATCGATAAGAATGTTGCTCCGGAGATTTGTTTAAAAACTCTTTAATATTTATATTTCAAATTTAAATTTAAAAAAAAGGAGGTATAACAATAGAAAGTGCAAAAGATTATCAGTTGACTTTTGCTGATCTTAATTAGTAATTATTTATAATGATGGCATCTTCCATTTATTGTTATTACTATTATTATTATTGTTGTTAACGTTCTGTAATTTTATAAAAGTTCAAGAGAAATTTTTTGTTTGTTTGTTTTTATGAAAGTTTAATAATAATTACACGCGGTCGTTTCATGAGATGAAATCCGATAAGAAAAAAAAAATTTTTTTTGTGTTATTTTCTTCGATTGTCCGGTGTTGGGATTATAAGAATTAAATTTCTTACGTTCGTTCGATATGAAATGGAAATTTTTTTTTTTTTTTTTACCGAAAAAAAAAGAAAATCTCTTCGGATTTAATAATCGGTTTAAAAGAAAAGTCTTAAACGTCTTAAACATACACCTCCTGATAATCGTATAAACCTCCTTTTATTTATTATCTTTGTTAGTTTATTAATTTTAACTTTCTTTTCCTTCTCCGATCATTAACAAAAAGAAAAAAAAAAAATTTCTTTGTTTTGTTTAATTTAATAAAATTTTCGATTGACTCTTTTTTGTTATTACTGTGATCGGAGTTTAAAAAAAAAAATATAGAAAAAAATTTTTTTTTATTACGTTATTAATTTATAAATTTCTTTTGTTTTCACATTATCATTAATAATAATAATAATTTTTTTTTATATTCGAAATGTCTTCTTCTTCTTCTTTTATAAGTGTGTCAGATACGTGAAACGATAATAAATTTTAATTTTTTTTTTTTTAAGGTTTTAGTGTCATTAACTTTTAAAGTCCGTAGTTGATAAAAAAAAGAAAAAAAAATTTTTTTAATCGTTTTGTTTGTTGTTGTTTTAATAAACTTGTAGTTTTTATATATTTATATGTACGCATATATAATAATAATAATAATAATAATAATAATATGTTTTGCGTTTGTAAGGATGTTTATTAAATATTCCCTCCCTCTTCCCCCCAAAAAAAAAAAAAATTGAAAAAAAATGTTTTTTTAAAAACAAAATTTAGGCCGATTTAGGTATTGTGTGATAGATTTGCCGTTAATTAATTAATTAATTGTTTGTTTGTTTGTTTGTTTGCTTTTTTATTGTTTTTTATCGAATGTGAATTTGTCATCATCATAGTTTTTGAATATATTTTTTATAATTTAAAAAAAAAAAAAAGTCTTCTGTTGCAGTCTAGTTTTTTTTTTTTTTTTTTTTTTATTAAATTCTTAAGAGAAACATAATTAATTGATTTCGGCTTTTTTTAAATAATTATGTGTTATAAATGTTTATTTAAAAAATTATTATAATTTATTAAAGGTTGTTTTTGTTTTGTTTTTTTTTACAACGCAGAACAATATGTCTTCGTTTGGTGATTCAAAGGAGGATTACAGTGATTTACCTCCAAATCAACGAAAAAAGAAATTACAGCAAAGGATAGAAGAATTACAAAAGAGCGTGCAACAAGAGACTGCAGCAAGGTAAGTTAAAAGTTTTAAAAAATGATGATGATGATGATGATGATGATGATGATGGTGGTGGTGGTGGTGGTGGTGGTGGGTAAAATCTCTTTAGTACATTTGAAAGTGAATTTTATGAAGGAGAAGAAGAAGAAGAAGGAAAAATTCAAGGTTATACAAATGTTGTTGTTTTTGATCAGGGTCGTCGTCATCATTCGATTTGTTTTTTTTTTTTTTTTCCCTTCTCTCCCTACGTCATTTTCCAAAATCCCCTTTTTATTTATTTATTTATTTATTGTTTTAGAGACGGACTGATGAAAATGAAAGGAGTTTACGAACAAAATCCCGCGTTAGGGGATCCAATGTCCATCGAGGGACAGCTCAACGAAAGCGGCCACAAATTAGATAAGCTTAGACAAGAATTGCACAAGTTTCAAGTGTATTTAGAAGAAGCATTGGAAATGCCACGACATCAATCCGTCGGAAATTCTCCTTCGGCTCCGAATAGGAAAAATAAAACTCCGACTCGCGGCCATAGTTTGTTAAACGGTTTAAATTCGAACAACAATCACAGGTGAGTGAGTGAGCGAGTAGGTTTTTGTGAAAATTTGAATGAAAAATCTTTTTTTTTTTTCTTAAAAATAAACTAAAGTAATTTTTCAAACGAATATAGAAATAGTGGGGGTTCCGGCGGTGAAGAAGAATCACTTAGTAGATCCGCATCGGATTCAAGCGTGTCAAATCCAATAAATAATCACAATAATAAACAATCCGCTCCTGGTACACCATTACCGAGTCACGGGTACGTATTCTTCGTTTGTTTTTATTATTATTATTATTGTTTGACAATAGCAAATTTTACCACGACCCACTCTTAAAAAATTCGAGATCCTTTTCTCTCTCTCTCTTTTTTTATTATTAATTTTTTTTTTTTTTTTGTTTTTATTTTGTTTCGAAACAAAAAGTTTATCCATTAAAATCCAAAAGTTTTCATCCTGGAATTTTGTTTGTTTTTGTTTTTAATTTAATTCGATTCGATTTGATTTTTTTTATTTTATTTCGTTTTGTTTTGTTTTACATTCCTAACACGCTTTTAGCCATTTTCCTAACTTGTTTTATTATTATATTACTAATAATAGCTCCTCGAACAGTCCTGAATCCGGTTTGGGAACGTCTCACACGAGCCTTCCAGAATCCGATCCCGACAACGTTGTGGAACAATCAGGATTGTACGGTTACGAAGGAGAAGTTTTAAGTCCTTTGGGAACTTGTCGCGCACTATATCCCTTCGAAGGTAAATACAAAAAATGAATGAATGATAAGGTGAAAAAAAAGGGGGACTCGATGATTAACGAGGTTTTTTTTTTTCTTTTCTCTCTCTATTTCTCTCTCTCTCTTTCTATCTATCTCTATCCAGCGACGAGCGAAGGATCGATTCCCATGTACGACGGTGAAGAATTATATTTAATAGAAGTCGATCAGGGTGACGGTTGGACGAGAGTGAGAAGGATGAACGATTACGAGGAAGGATTCGTGCCGACGTCTTACATAAGTTGCACGCCTTATACATAAATCGGGAGAAAAGACATTAAGAAAAGACTGGGTTTTTATCACATTTGTATTACGGATGGAAGAAAGGATTGAAAAAAAAGAAAAGGAAAGAAGAAGGAAGAAACAAGGAGGGAAGACAAAAAAATGGAGAAAACGAACTTATCAATGAACAAAAAAAAAAAAAAAATTAAATTTCGTAAATAAGTCCGCCCGTAAAGAAAGAAAGAAATGAGCACGGATTTGTTTGTTCAATTGGGGGAGGGGAGGGGAGGGAGGGGAAGAAATTCTTATCGATTATAAGTGTCTATTGGTCGCGATTATTATTATTATTGTCCAGTGTCCAGATTTCTTTTATATATATATATACGCGATTGTTGTTTGTGGTTGTTTCAAACGTCTCTTCAACGCAAAAAAACAAAACAAAACAAACGAATTTTAAATTGCATGATTTTTATTGTCGTCGTTCTCTAAAATTTTTCACGTCGAATTCATTCGTGAGGGGAGGGGGGGGGAAAGAAAAAAAAAATTTTCCGAGAAAAATGAATTCGATTTTCACAAAAATTATTTGATTTTAACGCTAGTCAAATATTTGAAAACTCAAAATAAAATCACAAGTTTAAGACACAAGAGTTGTTTGTTGTTTGTTTGTTGTTTTTTTTTTTTTCAATTTTAGGGTTGTGAATTGTTGTGTAACAATTTTTTTTTTTTTCTGCTTCTAAAACAAACAAACAAGTAGAAAAAGAAGAAGAAAATGTCAAATTTAACGGTAATTAATTTTCATGCCAAATTTTAAAAGCAGAAGAAATAATTTAAAGTGTCAAAAATCCATTTTTTTTTTTTTTTATAAATATATTTTTTGAAATTTCCCTGGAAGGGAAGGAAAGAAAGAAAAAAATAAGGGATAGAGTTCGTACGAGATAATAAAAAGTTGAGGTGGAAAATTTTTCAAATAATAATAATAATAATAAATATAAATATGTATTTTTAGAAAGAGATCCCGAAAGTTGGAGTTTTTATAAATAAGACTGCACAAAAACAAAGACGTATGAATTATAAACGATAAAAATTTTTTTTTTTTTTTTTGCTGTTGTTTATTGTATTAATAATAATAATAATAATAATGATAATAATAATAAGATAGTTAAAATGAATTTTGTTGCTTTTGCTCATGATGGCAAAGAAAAAAAAAGAAAAAGAGAATTCATGATGAAATAATAATTATTATTATTTTGCATGAAAGTTCACGGACCACGAAAAATTGTAATTAAAAGCGTAAAAGTTTTAAGTCTCTTGATAGCCATTTAATAATTAATAATAATAATGATAATGATGATAATAATGATGATTATTCAGAGTCAAAACAAAATAAAAAAAAATTAAAAAATTAAAAAATAAAAAGAAAAAAGAATTTTTTATATATATTTAATATTGTACGTATATATTTTTTTTTTAAATACACGATTTAATAGTTGTTAATTTATGTATTATAATTATTATTATTATTATTATTATTATTATTATTATTATTATTTATTTATTACTTTGTAAGTTTAATAAGAAGAATGAATAAAAATTGCGGCGGCCGGTTGTTTTATTATTATTATATGAATAACGTTCAACGTTTTTCCAAATAATTTTTTATTTATTATTATTATTATTATTATTATTATTATTATTATTGATCGAGTGGTTTAATTATTATTATTATTATTATTATTAAATGATAATGATAATGATGAAAAAAAATTTTTCTTTTCTCTTGCACGCCTTTTTTTTTTTAAATTGTAAATAACAATTGTAGGTCTGTAATAACCTCTTATCCGTAATATTTTATTAATTAACTAATTTTTCTTCAAAACGAAGAATGTGAATGAATAATAATAATAATGATAATAATAGTAGTGATGATGATGATGATGATGAAGATGATGGTAAAATTTTTTTTTTTTTTTTTTTGTTTTAAATTAAAGAAAATGTCGGTCGGCCGATCGGTTAAACATTTTATGTTTTACAAAAAAAAAAAACAGAAAAATACGAATTATTATTATTATTATTATTTAAATTAATACTTCTAACTTAAATGTGGCCATTCATTAATATTATTAAAAATAAATAAATAAATAAATAATGATAATGATGATAAAATGATTGTAATGTTTCGCTTTTGTTGTGTGATTGTACTTAATCAATGGGCGTAAGTTTTAGTTAAAAGGAAAAATAAAATTTAAAAAAAAAAAAAATAATAATAATAATAATGATGATGATAATGATGATAAAAATATTTTCTTTTTTTTCTTTCCACAAATAAATAATTTTTTTCCGGTTCGTATTATTATTATTATTATTATTATTATTATTATTAATAATTTTTCGTCTGGTATTATTATATGAATACGCGTGAATAATTTTTTTTCCCCATTTTTTCTTTCTTTCTTTTTTTTTTATTGTGCCATAACGGATAATTTTCTTTTCTCTTTTTTTTCTTTTTCTTCTCTGTTTTATTTAATAAATTTAACCCAGGGGGAGGGGAAGGGGGAAGGGGAAAGGGGGAAATTATTAATTTATTTAATTGTGTGTTCATATCCGTTCATATATAAATACCAGTCGATATTTTGATTTATAATAAAAAAAATTTCGTTTTGTGCAATAAATATTTTTATGGGGGGAAGAGAGAAAAAAAAAAAAAATAATAATAATAATACTATTTTTTACCGCATTAAGTATATTATATTATATATTTATATATTGTTATTTGAAAGCAGATTTTTCATTTTTTTTTTTTTTTTAATGTCATCAAATTAATAAATTTCATTTTTTATTTTATTATTATTATTATTTTTTTTGTTTTCTTTAGTTTGTATAAAAATGATAATGATAATGTAAATTTAATAAACTTGCCTTTTTATTATTATTATTATTAATGAAAAAGTAAAAATATAATAATAATAATTCATTCCAATTTTTTTTTTTTATTTCATTTGCTTTATAATTTTATTTTTATTTTTTTTCATGGCATTTAAAAATTAATAATTAGTCAAATATATATATTTTTCAATAGTTGTATTATTATTATTATTATTATTATTAAATAAAAATTTTTTTTGTATTAAAATATGATTTAGTTTAATAATAAATAAGTTTAGCCACATTTTTCTTTTCTTTTTAATATATATATAGTCACAATTGTTATTTAATAATAATAATAATAATGTTTTTATTTTTTATTTCATATTCGAAAAAGTATTTATTTATAATAATAATAATAATAACTCTCATATATATATATATTTAAAAAATAAATTTTATGTGAGTGTATTATACCATAAATATACATAAAAAATTATTAATTTTGTCAATATACATAAATACATATATATATATGAAAAATTGAAAAGAAAAAAAACAAAAAAAAAAAATAGATTTTTATTATTATTATTATTATATATTTTTTTAATAACTGGCAACAGTTTTATAAAAGAAAGAGGAAGGGGGGGAGGAGGGAGGAAGGAAAAAAATTATACTTAAAAAACTGCTTTCAAATTAATTATATTATTCATATGTGATTTGTTTATTTTTTATTTTATTATTATTATTATTATTTTAAATTTGTCCTACACAAGGCTTTTGGTTGATTATTATTATTATTATTATTATTACATATTGCATTCAGTGTATTATATTGTAAATTTTTTTTTAGCAAATAGATAACTTTTCATTATTTAATTTTTTTTTTTTATTATTTTATTTCAAACAATTAATGTTTGCCATCTTTAGTTTTTTATTTTTTATTCCTCTTATTGTTCATTATGTAAATTTAATTTTAATAAGTGAATGAAAATTAATAATTAATTATTGTTCAGAAATAATTGAATTCCATAATGCTTTTTTTTTTTTAAAAAATATTTATTTATTTATTTATTTTATTTAAAAATATTTTACATTCTATTATAAACTCTGCCAACGACATTTCTTAATTGTCCGTAAACTTTCGATGGAGGGCTTCCCATAATCAAATTACATATCGCTCGTCTAGCCAATTGTATATTATTAAATGATCCAAGAATATGAATTTTAGAATCTGCTAATACTATTCTTGTTTTTGTTGCATTTTCAATTGTGTATTTTGTTCTACCACTTTTACCAGCCAATCTTCCTATTGCTCTAGACAAATGATTTCCTTTTAATGGTTTCACATCAGTCACTTCAAATGATTCCATAAATAAATCATCTAACCTAAGTAAAGCTAATGCATCTTCAATTTCAAAACCGTAAACGAAAGCTTTCACGAAATCTGCACCTTTTTGAAGGTTAGCTATATCTTTTGTGCTTTCGCACGTCCTTAATTCTACCTGTCTTGTTTTTAAATTAAATCGTATTTGTAAATTTAAATGTTCTACAACTGGTGAAAATATTTTAACCCAATTTTCTTTGAGAGGAGTATAACGATGTGCTGGAACTGATACTTTTCTCATTTCAAATTTTGAATTTGATTTTTTAGATTTTTTGACTGGAGCTACAACAGCATCTGGTTTAGCTGATAATTCATTAATTATTTCTTCCGTAACGATATCCATTGGTTCGACGGGTTCAGCAGGTCGCTTACGTGATGTTTGTTCTTTATCAAGCGTCATCTTTCTTCGATTTTTTTTCCTTTTACACAAATCTTTTAAATTTAATAAACACACTAAATTAAAATACACACGTGTTTACAATTAGCTGAAAGCTTTTTAGAAAACAGAATGGGAAACTTTTGAAAAAAAAAAAAAAATTTCGTCTGCTTCGACAACGTGTATAAGTTCGTTTGATTAATTATAAGTACTTTGCATGAAGTTTAAAGATTTATACTTTTTATAAAAACTTATAATTTTATAAAAATACACGCTAAACTTTTAATATTTGATTTTTTAATTCTACGAAATAAAATGTTTTTCTATAAATATGATATAATAGGTTAAAATTGGGATCGCAACAATAAGTTGCTTACATTGTATTTGAAAAGTTTAAAAAGTTGTATAACTGATACACTTGAAAGTTATTTCTAAAATTATTTTAGTTAAAACTTTTTTTTTTTTTTTATTAAGAAAAGTTAACTTGTTAAAATTATTATTTCGTTGTTGTCACTTTAATATTTTATAAAATGGGGGTAGATGTTGTAAAGAAAGGTGACTATGTTATTATTCAAAAGCAAAATTATACTAAAATACACAGAATAAAAAAAGATACGGTAACGATTGGAAAAGATGAAGTTGATATTAGTTCAATTGTTGGAGAGCCTTTTTGGACGACGTATAAATTAGAACCAAAGGCAAATTCAAAACGTTGTTATGTGTTGAAAAAATCTAAACACACAATTAGCATATCTGGTATTTTTCAATGTTCACTTGTTAACATTCGTAGCAATTCAATGAAATAATTTTAATTTCCTAATTTTACAGATGAAATTATCAAAGATGTTACTAGTGGAGTTGATAACAGAGGTATTATAGATGATGGTTCATCACAAAAATTATCAACTCAAGAAATAATAAGCTTAAGAGAAAATGGAATGTCAGCTCAAAACATTGTTTCACATTTAATCGAAAACAGTAAAACATTTTTTAACAAAACAGAATATTCTCAAGTTAGTTTACAATACTTATAAGTAAAATTTCTTATTTAAATATTTATAGTTTTATTATTATAATTACAATTAAATTCCAGGAAAAATATTTAAAAAAAAAGGAAAAAAAATATTTCGAATACATAACAATTAGAAAACCGAGTTTTCGTCTCATTTCTGAAGTTTTATTAAGGCAACCTGTAAAAGTTTTAGGATTGAGAATGGATACATTAGCTCAAATATCATCAACTGTTGGAATCACTTCAGGAGGTAAATACTTGTTATATTTATAAAATTTATAAATTTTTTTTTATTTTAAATTAAAATATCATTAATTTCAGGTACTTATTTATTATATGAAACTGGTTGTATGGGAATCGTATCAGCATCATTGATTGATCGATTGGGTACAGATGGAACAATTATTAATTTTTATTCTGGACCATTAGATCAACCTTCTCAAGCTGTATTAGCTCTAAATCTACCAAAAGAACAATTAGACAGATTGATCAGTGTTAACATTCAAACATTTTTTACAAACGATAACGACGATCAAGATAATTCCAATTTAAATTCAGAGCCCGAAAACACAAACAATTTATCCCGCGAGAGCAATGAAATATTAGGTAAAAGAAAAAATGAGGGAGAGACTCGCGTGGGTGGTAAAATGAGAAAAAAAAATGAAGATACGGAAAAAGCATTGAAAATATTAAACGAAAAAAAAGGTGATGCGTTGATTATAGTCGGTAAAGAACATCCGACGAATATTTTCATGAAATTAATAAAATTTCTTGAGATTTCGAGACCTTTTGTCGTGTATTCACCACTGAGAGAACCCCTACAAGATTTATACTGCGATTTAAAACAAAGAAACGATATAATATCGTTGAGGCTAACGGAAAGTTGGCTGAGAGATTATCAGATACTACCCGAAAGAACTCATCCAGATATAAGAATCAGTGGGAGCGGTGGATATTTACTTTCTGGTTTTTACGTCAATTCTTAACGCACGACGTCTCGCACGATCGTCGACATTTTCCACATTACCCAAAAAGGTAAAAAAATTCATTTTATAATTTAAACGTTACAAAAAAAATTCAAAATACCCGAATCGAAAGATTTTCCCTTAAAAATAATTACTAATCAAATCGACTGAACTATTTTCTGCGAGAAGACGAGTGTTAAGTTTATTATTACGTAATAAATAATCGAGTCGATCATAATTACATAAAAAAAATTTTAATTATAATTTTTCAATGGAAAAGGTTCAGTCATTCGAAATCAATTTAAAATACGATTTAATTTTTTTTTTTCCGTCATTCTCGTACTCGACGATGATTTTAATTAAAGAAAGTAATAAAAGGTACGATTACATATTTAATTAAATAAAAAATTATTTTATTTTATTATTAAAGAGTTTAAACAAAAACGAAATGTAATATATATATGTACGAATCCGTATGCTATTTTCGAATCAGTTTTAAAAAGAAAAGAATGAGCGTAGAAAATGATGAAAAGGTTGTGAAAACAGAACGTTCGTCGCATTCGCATTCACGTTCGCGTTCGCGTTCCCCGTTTCAGTGATAAATCGGATTTTGTTGAATGAACAACAAGAACAAGTCGGATATTTACTATTACGCCTTTTTTTAAATTTGATTATACGCAGATTTACGCACGCGGATCGGGATTAATTTTTTTTTTTTAGAAAAAAAACTACTACTTATTAGTTGTGTGGAAACGATTATTAAATCGCGTTTTTATTAATTATTTCGTTTGTTTGTTTGTTTGTTCGTTTGTACGAAATTAAAGTTTAAAAAAATTAAATATGTAACGTATCGATAGTTCAGGTTAGTTTTAAAACCAATTTAATTAATATTATTCGTTCGTTTTAATTTTGTTTTTAAAATTTATGATTATTATTTAATAGAACAAACGGGGGGAGAGAGGGGGGGGAGGGGAAATGTATCGGTTGAACGTTTCGAACGGATTTTAATTTTTTATGTCGAAAAAAAAAAAAAATGGGAAAATTAAATAAAACGTGAAAAAGACTTTGTGGTTAATACACACAAAAAAAAAAATGAAAATGAAGGGCGTTACGAAAAATTATTATTATTATTATTATTATTATTATTATTATTATTATTATTATTATTATTATTATTCGGGAGAAAATTAAAAAAAAAAAAAAATTATTTATTTATTTATTTATTAATTTTTCATTTTCCTCCCGTGGGGGTCTCAACACAAACGAAAGAAAAAAAGAAAGAAAGAAAATTAATCTATTCATAACCCTTGGCAAAAGGTTTTCATTTTTCTTTGGTTAAGATTAATAATTAACAAAGACGACGATGATAATGATGATGATGATGATGATGATGAAAATTAAACGTAAAAAAAAATGCGTAATAATATGTATGAAAGGAAAAATTTGAGTTTTCATTTGGGAAATTTTTTTTTTTTGAAAAAATTATGAAAAGTTTCGATTTGTTATTCGTCGTTTTGTATAAATTATTTTAAAAAAAGAATTTTTTATTTTATTTTTATTAGCCATTTAAAAGTATGAAATTTATTTATTATTATTATTTTTTTTTTTTTACGCCATTTATAAGTTTTGCACGGTTACAAAAAAAAAATAAGAAATTTTTTTTTTTTATGCGCCATAAATAATTTATAGCGTTGCATAATCCGTTAATAATTTTTTTTTTTTTTTATTCAAAAATCTTTTTTTTTTTTTTCTTTACGTTAAAATTTAAATTTAAATTTAAATTAGAATTAGAAGGGAAAAAAAATTTCAATTTAAAAATTAAATTTAGATTTTAAAAAATGAATGATTAATTACCTGTTGATAACTCTGGTTAGTTTTACAAAAACGCATTTTCTTATGATTTAAATTTTTTTTTTATTTAAATTTTCTCAAGGTCACGCCTTTCGTGCGTTTTTACGCGTGTGTGTGCGTGCTTGCGTGCGCGTGTTTCGGTGCATCCTCCCATAAATTTTAATGGCTCCTCAAAAAAATTTTTATAATTTGACTCCTGCTCTCGAATGAACCGACACGAAAATTTAACAAATTACAAATTTTTTCTTAAAATTATTTAAAAAATTAATGACGTCTTTTACCCCCCTTCCCCCTCCCCTTCTTCTTCTTTCTCTTCCCCCCACCGACGCATTCGTCTCCCCAATTTTTTTTTTTTTTTTACCATCTCGACAATTGCAATTTAAAATTAAAAAAAGAAAAAAAAAATTATTCTGATGCAAATATCGACCCTTTACATCCCCCCGAATTAATTTTATCCTACAATATTTCACGTTATCATTATTATTATTATTATTATTATTATTACTATCATTTCAAAAAGGTTATAGTCATGTCGTCATTAACATAACGATAATAATAATAAAAATAATAATAATTAAATTTTATTAATTAGAAGTTTAAAAAAAAAAAAGGGGAGGAAAAAAAAATTAATTCAAAGAGTTTTCGGCCATATTTTATTATTATTATTATTACTATTATCTTTATTATTATTATATTCATAAAAATGGGAGATGAAGAAAAGAATGAATATATTTAAGTAATTCAAAGGTCATCACGCAGCGTAAATAATAATAATAATAATAATAATAATAATAATTTTTAATATTTTTAATTGTACTGCGAATTCAGTCTCGAGGAAAAAAAAAAATTTTTTTTTGTGCGGATTAAATTCGCGTGCGTAAAAGTGCGTAAACGTGCGTAAAAATTCGTTGGTACTTATTTATTTATTAACGCGTGGGTACCGTATTTTTTTTTTCTTTTTTACATAACAACAAAGAAAAATTTTATTTAATAAATAAATAAAAGAAATCCTTTTTCATTATCCCACGAGTATTTTCTCAATGGATAATAATAAAAAAAAACCACCGCCATTTTTTCTTCTCCTCCTCTTCCTCTCCCTCCCCTCTCTCCCTATTCCTCTATTCCTCTATTCCTGTATTCCTCTTTTCCTTCTTGTTTTCCCTTTTTCCTTTTTTCACAAACGTTTATTTATACAAAAAGAAAAAGAAAAATTCGTGCGGTTTTCTTTTTTATCATAATAAAAAATTTTAAAAAAATTATTATTTTTTTTTTCCTCACTCGTTACCATCATCATCATCATCATCTTTATTGTTCGTAAAAAAAAAAAAAATATTTTACAATTTGAATTTTTTTTTCCTTTTCCTTCTTTCTTTCATTTTTTTTCATATTGAAATTTATAATGGTGCTGAACAAACACCGAGAGGGAAAGAGGTAGAGAGAGAGAGAGAGAGAGGGAATGAGGAAAATTTTTATTTATTTAAACAATTTAAAAAAATTTTTTTTTTTTTTGGATTTTGATAATGATAATTAACAACTTTTTATTTACCATTTGAACGTATGATGGATAATAATAAATAATAATAATAATAATAATAAACGTAAAACGCGCGCGTTTTTTTTTTTTTTTTTAAATTTAATAAATGCGTTAATAAACCTTTTTTTGTACTTATTCAAAAACAATAATTGAAATAATAATAAGTTTCCCATTGAAATTTTTTTTGTATTCATTCAAAATAAGTTAAAACTTTTTATAAAACTTTTAACGATTCCATTGTTATTATTATTATTATTATCATCATTATTATTATTAATATTTTAACACACGCGCACTTATTCGAACGTATTATTATTTTATATTTTACGATTCCGATGATTTTCGTTTGCATAAATAGCATGTTTAAATTTTATATAATCTTATTCGATATTATATATACATAATAACACTAATCTTATTTTTGATGATATTAATAATAATGATAATAATAATAATTATTATTATTATCATTAAAAGTACGTGACGTATATTATATAAAATTCTAGAATTATTGATTTAGGAGTTTTGGTTTTTGTAGATAATGATTGTTTGAATGATTAAGTTAACGAAAAGGGAGAAAATTATTATTATTATTATTATTTGTGAATGTGACGTCATAAAGATGGTGAGTGATAAAAAAAAAAAAACGGTAGAAAATTCAAAAAAAATAAAAGGAATGTAAAAAATATTGAAATGATGATGATGATGATGGTGATGGTGAAAAATGAGGATGGAAAAAATTTTCTTTTTTTTTTAATTGTACAACGAGAGCATGTATTTCCGGTTTCCGGTTTTGTTTCCGGGTTTAAAAAAAAGGGGGGGGGAAAGGAAAAAAGTTTTGACATTTAATATTTTAAATAACGGTTTCCAATATGTAATTTTGTTTTTTTTTTGTTTTTTGGTTTTTTTTATGTGTTTTGAAAACATAAAAAAACATAAAAACCTCCGACATCCAAGTAATGAAAACCATCTAAAGTTCGTCGGATTTTAAATTCCCTCTCCCCTCCCCTCACCCTCCCCCTCTCGATCTTTCTAGAAAAATCCATATAGTTTTTTTTTTTTTTTACTCCTTTGTAAAATTGTTATTCTCCGATCGTAGGCATCGAGGAAAACTTTTTTTTTTTTTTGTTTGTTCGCTTATTTGTTTGTTTTCTATTTGTTTGTTTATTTGTTTGTTTGTTTGAGTTAAACGTAAAAGGAATTAATAAATTTTAAATTGAAATTTAAAAGGAAATTTTTTTTTTTTTACTTATAAATTTTCTAATATCCTTATTTAAAAAAAAAACAAATAATTTGTTTACAATGCGGATAATGTTTTATTTATTTATTTATAAATAACAACAATAATAATGATAATAATAATAATAATAATAATTTAAGATGCAATAAGTCTTCGGATTAAATAAAAGGAAAAAATTTCCGGATTAAAAAAAAAACAAAAAAGAAAAGAGAAAAGAGAAAAAGAAAAAAAGGAAGAAAATTAGTTAATATTATTATCATTATTATTATTATAATTATTATTATTATTTTTTATCTCTTATCAAAATGAATGTTTTCTTTGTTTTTAATTTCGTCGAGTACCTACTTTAAATAAATAAATAAAATTTTACTATTTCGTTTATTACCGGAAAAAATT